ATGCTATCAGCCAGGAGTCCCCTCCATTGTTTATTGGCAGATTAGTCAACGTGGGGATAGTTGCGTAGCATAGCGTGTAGCCTCCTGTTTCCTTACCCCGGAGTGATGCTCATTTTTGAATCTCAGAAAGAAGAACGCCAAGAGCCCTTTCGGAATTGGAACCCAGCCCTTCTAAGTTATGAATTGGACGCTCTTCTGACTGAGTAACCCTGAACGCAATTTATGCGGGCCTCTATCTTATAATATATGAGTACCTGTGGTTCTGGCTAGGTTTCGTACCGTTTCATAAGTTAGAACTGTACACCGCTTCATCCATAAGGATGCTTCAAAATTCGGTTTCCTTACATGCTTTCGCGAAATATGAAAATGTTTTTATGCTCAAGGTATTACAGGGTAAGCATATACTCCGTCGAACCAGCTCTCTGCATATAAATTCCTACACAGTTATTTTAAGGCGAGTGCTGATCAGTAATTAGCACATTTTCGGTGCATCAATGTCCTTGCAAGATGGATTGCTTGAATTGGCGACACTGATATTTTGATTTGCATTGATATGAAGGTATCTCATGTTTAACATTTAGCTGATTTTGGCCTGACACGTGATATATATGAAGAAGATTATTACCGAGCAGAAAAACATGGATTAGTTCCGGTCAGATGGATGGCGCCTGAATCGATCATTGACGGGATTTTCACAGTCAAAACGGATGTCTGGTATGCGGTTAAAACTAAATGTTTGCCCTGAATTTTCAGTCTACGCTTAACAGGTCATTCGGAGTCTTACTGTGGGAGGTGATTACTCTTGGCCAACAGCCGTACAGCAACAAAACCAACTGGGAAGTCCTAAACTTTGTAAGAATTGGAGGCAGGCTCGACAAACCAGAATATTGCCCTCCGGAAATGTACGACAACTTTGAATATTGTGTAGTGAATAAAGGTCGAATGACTGTTAAGATATACTTGTTTTATTGCTTTGAAAAGTTTCGAAGATCTGCTTCCTCAAACAATAACATTTAACTGTAATTTAGATACCAGCTTATGCTTCATTGTTGGTCGTTTGCACCCCTTGAACGTCCAACGTTTGAAGCAGTGGTCAAGAAACTTGAAGAATTGACTTGTATTCCTGAATTTAATAATGACTCTCCTTTTCCGCCACTTTTTGGTACTAGTATTATTTTCTATTTAGCCTGTTCTACCTGTGAAACATAATTCGAATTTAGAGCTGAAGGTAAACAATGCCAACGGCACTAAATCTTATAGCACTTCTGGCAGTAGCGCAAGAGACAGTCGGGAGCCGGTTTTTTCCACCACCTGCAGCGGTCGCTTTGTCCGTAGCAAAGGTATGTCGTTTGCTTTTTTCTAAAATGCTTTACTGCCATTTGTGTCAGTCATTTAATGAATCAAGGCTAAATTACTTATGAAGCATGACGTCGCTGATCCTTCGGTCTCCAGACCCTAGCTGGATATATCTCTCGTCCTCCTCAATTTGTCACCGTCAGTGGGCGAAATTCGTTACCGTGATGAATAACCTGTAATTCCTTCCTTCCATCCTTGATGTTCAGCATATTCCGACTTACTGTTCAGTCGAGGCTCAGCTTCATACAGAGGTTGCTCACTCAGTAGACTGATTCAGAATCGAGAAGTCCCGGGCTCGATCTCCAGTCTGCTCATTGACGTTTTTTTCTGAGGTTGTTCAGTGAGTACCACTTTTGAGAAGGAAACAGGAGACTTCACACAATGTCTTCCTCGTAGCTGGCTGCTGTCAGTTCTACTTTTAAAATACCGCACTCTTGGCTGATGGTATGGAAATGGAGATGAGCGCCCAAGTATTAACTTTATGAAAAAAGGATGCCAGAAATGTCTGCTAGTGAAAATGCGTGGAAGACCGACATTCTAACGGCTATGAATTTTGTTCCTTTTCCCTGACTTATTAAACATGACCCAATTATTGTAGACCGACGTTCGTCGATCGGCTTATCGAAGCGTGGGAAATCAATATTTCGCTCACTGAAGCGGTCCAGCGGACCGCATACTCTACCGGTAAAATTGCTTAATCAATTCAGCGTTAATTATTTAGCTGTGCCATTAAATGTCTACTTTTCAGCCATCGAAAGAAGATATTAATTTCAGCAGTCCCGGTGCAAATGCGTCAGATACCCAGATCAACCGTGCTTCTGGTAGTTCTTTGGCGAGTACAGTGCCGGATCTTTATGAAATACCTCTTCTGCAAAGCCTGAGGTCAAGCAGCGACGCTTATTCGACAGCCATGAACAATGTCGCATATGAAAACACCTCTCCTGAAGCGACCGATGTCTCTTCATCTCCTCATACGTCGTTCCGATATTCCTCGGTCTCTTAACGAGAAGAATTTTCTGATCCTCCACTGATGTTTTTCTCGGTGGTGTAAACTACGAAATACGGTGATCATTGCCAAATCTGAATTCTTTCATATGGGAGCCCCGTAAAGATATAATTTCGCGAGGTGCAGTGAACATTGATTGAAGCATAAATTACATCACATGGCGTTATCGGCTGCCAGATATCAATGGTTAAGGAAGAGGACTAGAACGCTGTACTGTTGACTTTCTAATAAATGAACTTCATGCTCAACTCGATTATTTGGTTAATTTAATATAGTGCATATTAAATTTTATTCATTCGATTTAAATCAGAACCTTTTTGAATGACCTTGTATAGCGCTGTTCTGTAGAGGTGAGGACAAAAGGTGAGTTAAGCGCTTTGCGGTGATGTTTATCTTCGAGACTGTCCTTAGTATTCCGCTAAAGTCTTTCTAATCAGCATAATTGCTATGAAGCGAAGCACTCTCTGTGCTGTGAAAGGATTTGACCATGCAACACGGCGATAATCGACCTTCAGTACGTTTAATAGATGCCAGAGTCATTCAGGGTACAGGTACGGCACTGGAACAAGTAGCTAATGATGTGAGTTTACATATCCCCAAAATCACGGAACTAATCTTTCCAGTAGAACACTTTATTAATCATGATGCGCGGGTCACAGTGGTCAGATCTGATCTTGTGCAAAAAAAATTTTGTAATGTTCATTAGGAAATTCGTTACGGTAGAGTTCTTTAAGCCATTTTATAATAATGACATGACATTGCAAATTAGCTCCAGACTCGGACAATGGCGCAGAATCGGAAACGTCAGTAGCATCATCTGATGCTGCTGGCTCCGTGGCTCAGAGGGATAGGCAGTCATCGAAATTGACTGACTAACCGATTTTTTGGTATACTTCGTAATTTCCAGTATCAAACTCTGGCAAAACGAGCATTTTGGCATTTGTTTCCGTTTGTTGCAGATAATCACAGTCATATATTGATAGGTTGACCGATTGATTGACAAAAAACTTTTCGTTCTATGTTTGACACTTTAATCGGCTATTCCTTAACACTGCTCTTTGCACAGATCGAAGTTTCTGTATGGCCGCTGTTCACGGTCGATGAAGGTGATTTCGGTAAATGGGTGGCAGTCTGACTTAAATAAGTTTCCATACGAAATTATGTCAGGTGAGAATTTCAATGATCTGAGTATCCACTGTGTCTGATGCGCCTGATTTTTATGTGACACTGTTGAAAATGGGCGTTGCATGAATGTAGGTGCTTATATAATACGTGGAAAAATCCGAATCAGTTTTCAGTCATTCCTTTGCATCTGATGTTTCTTGGAGACCCATTTTTGGGCTTCTGAGGACTTTCAGCGTCACTCCGGCATCACCGTATAACCTCCTACGTCAGGTACTAATCTAACCGCCAGTTGAAGCAAGACGCAAATGTGGTGTCACGCGGTCACAGCCTGAGGAGTTTCAAACAAGTCTCGATTTCAGATGAAGAAGGTATGAAGAAATCAAACCATGTGCAGCTTATCATTAATTCATTTGTTTCAGGAAGTGAACGTTGTTTTGCTCTTGTCCGTAGTCCTAGTAAGACTAAAGTTGAAGAACAAAACAAATGAGGCTGGATCCATGGTGAAGCCATGTAATGCCCGCAAAGGTCATTCGTTACCTCACTGGTGACATCCTCATGATACAACTGATACGACCAGAAAATGACACCTTATAAAGATGATATTTAAGTTAGCAAAATTCTATTTTAAGTTTTCGGCCTACACTCTTGAACCGCGACCCGAAAGGATAAGCAGTCATCGAAATTGGTTGGCTGGCTGGCTTTGTGTTGATTCGTTATTTCAGAACTTCAGGCATATTACTGCCCAGCTCGAGTTAGATGAGATGGTCTTCTACTCGAGCTCAGAAGCGTATCTATTATTTTGGCTGAAAAAGGAGCATCTCCTGCCACAAAAATCTTCCTGTATAATCCCTCTGCCAGGTCACTGATGGGAGTAGTTGCTCTATCGAAGGAGCGAGAGTTAGTTGAGTTCCATCTTACAGCATTGCTGTTGTCATGTAATGAGGGCTGAATGGCAGGAGCACGTAAGAAACGACTATTCACTTCATTAAATATAGAAATTACGAAAAGGACCATGAGACAAACAGCCCGCGGACTTCTCTTATGAGAACCAGGAGGCAGAGAGCAGTCTGGAGGAATAAGATAAAGCAGATCTGCTTTCGAATAGGAATTGTTCCTTGTGCGTGGCAGCAAGCAGTGTTAAAGTATAGCATAGAAAATTGCTGGAAAGCTGCGAATACAACCGGCAGCATCCGCCGTAGACTTTCTCCTGTCGGAAACGAGTGAAGGTAGTGATTTCAACAGGTAGCATAGAGTAGTCATAAGCGTCTCGCACATTTTTAAGCGACCAGATAATAACCTCACGTCGCTTGATTTTTCAGGTGATAAATTTTCCGCTTCAGCCGGATTCCGGAAATGCTTGTTGGGGCAATTTCTTGCTCAAGGAAACCGTTAGTTCGAACAAAAATTTATCTGACCGACATTCCAGCCCCTCACTTCTAAATGAACGAAGAATGTAACCACGATACCTGTGCTGCTGCATCATTAGCACATTAACGGCGATGGACCCAGTGTTCTTCTTGTTTACTCATGTCGTCGTCTTCTCGTTAGATTTTC